CCTTCTTAAGGTCCAATAGTGCAAAATGCAAATTCTTGCACTTTTTTGACTGGTCTTAAGATTTTGATCAGGAGTGTGTAAGATAAACATGGATGATAAGACAGCAGGTTGTTTGCTGTGTTATAAAAGTAATGTGTTTCTAACATCACTGTAATGTTTAAGTACTAAATCTATCAGAGTATCTTTTGGTCATTGGATTTTCATTTTAGAAGTGGGTATTAAAAAAACAAGAAACAAGTGATTATTTGATTTTTGTTTTAAAATACTGAAATTAAAATACAAAGTGTTTTTCATTCTTAGTGTCAAAAAAGGATAAACGAAATTTTAAAAATGATTTGAGTTTCATTTTCTGTTTCAGATAGCAAAAAAGAAAATTAATTTAAGACAGAAATGAAAAAAGGCTTGTTTGTTTGTATTCTGCCACTATCTATTCCCCCACCAGAAGCGGCGCTCGCCTGGCAGCTCTGCATAATAAAATACTAATTTCTGTGAATAAAAGACTGAAACACAGAGAAATATGTCTATAAATGAGTTGTATGATGACTGTCTCTCTGTGACCAAAGGCTGCAGAGATACTTCATGTGGTTTTTGGCCAAATAAGTCTCTTTTACTGAATACATGTCGGCTACTGCCTCCACTTCACCTCTATTTCTCTCAATAAAAAGCAAAACAAGACAAATTTCATTCCATTTCTGTGTTGTACAGTTGTTGTTCTGTGAGCAGASTGTTTTTTCCCTCCWGAGTTTTGACAAAATCTGTGCCTTTTTCTGTCAGTTCGCGTCCTCGAAGTGTTCCTTTAAGTGAGGGGTGGGCAGCACTACGACCTTGATATCGATCTGTTACCAAATAAATACGTGGCAAATATATTTGATACCAAAGTCAACATCTGTGTTGACTTTGTTTTCGTTGCAGCAGATATGTGTCCTACAATGCTCAGAAATGAGCGTCAGAAGATTTTGTKCTCGGCTTGATCTGAGGAGAAAATATTTATGTCAGACGCAGAACTGGAAAGCATTTTGATTTAGTCTATATATGAGGTAATCATCTATATCTATGTAATGGGATGTTCATTAAATAACTTTGATATTGCAGGCACCTCTTCAGGTGAAAAACAGTTTATTGTAGGGGGACAGTAAGTTGCCACGACCTGTCATAGATTATGAACAAACAAGACTTTTTTCGTTTCTGTCTTAAAGTAATTTTCTTTTATGC